AGGGACGGGACCACCCAAGGTGACACAGTTCAGTGGCAGGACCTGGTTGAATCCAGTGTAACTTAAGAAGCTGAGCTTGTTTAGAGGAAGAGCAGCAGCCTCCTGCCCTCCCCGGGGTGGTTTCCAAGGCCTTAGAGCTTCCGGAGGTGAGCCCCCGCTCACACCCCCGGCCCTGTGGGTCTCGGGAGCCTGCGAAACGGCTCTCCGTTCCTAGTCGGTCCTGTTACGTAAGGAACAAATGCCCAGTCACCTGCTCCTGCTTAAGGGCTTTGAAACTGCTTGGTCTTCAGCTGTTTGCAGCTCAGCCAGGTGTTACCCAGTCAGCTTCCCCCCAGCCCTCCTGAATCTCAGGAGGCCCAGGCCAATCTCTGACCAGCCTAAGGAGAGACACATCTGTGCCCCAGCGTCCTCCGAGGGCAGCACTGTGGTGAAGGAGGAAGCTGGTGCCAGATCCTCCCCGGATCCAGCTCTGAGGATGGGCACGCCACGGCCATTCATTATCATTAGCCCTGGCGTGTTGATTCTCTGCTTGGGGAAGAGAGTGCCATCCTCGTGACAGCCGCCTTGACGGATGGCCTCTGCCTCACATGTGTCCAAGCTAAAGCCACTTACGGAGCTCAGAGGACAGCCAGGTATCCGGGCCAGCACAGGCTGGGGCCTACCACAGCCTCAGGACTTCTGGGGCCAGGTTCAGAGGTCAGAGACTTGAGTGAGGTCAAGTCTCCGGGCAGACGAGGCAGGATGCAGCAGCTGATTGCCGGAATGGCCTGGGTGCCTGCAGCACCTCTGGGGGACATCTTGGGGGCGGTGGGGGGAGGGGCGGGGGCTCCCGGGAGCATTCTGCCCCGCCCCCCTCCAGGCAAGGAGCGCCCTGCCCCATGCTCCCCAACTCCAGGGGTGCCCGGGCAGGCGGTCCAGCTCATGCCAGCACCACGCAGACCCTGGAATTCTGTGAGGAAAGCGGAGCCCTGCCCGGGCCTCACCCACGCGGCCATGGCCCGGAGGCTAGCGCAGTGTCAGCCACACTTGCTCTGCTGCTGGAGGCCCCGGGAGGCGCTCCTCCCTGTCCACCCCGCAGCGCAGGCTGGCCCTTCCTCGCTTACCCGGGGATGGGTTTGGGCACGTGGAGGATAGAGCTGGAGCAGAACCCTGGGCCCCACCCTCAGACCCCTGCCCGTCCCCCCACTCTGTCCCAAGAGCAAGTCAGCTCCTCCTAGGAGGCCCCGGCCCACCTGTGGCTTCCGGCAGCCAGTGAGGCCCCAGGGGAGGGGGACTCAGGCGGGGAGGAACCCCCTGCCCCACTCTGAGGGGAGTGTGGCTGTGAGGGCGGACAGCGTGAGGCCCCGCAGCTCCTGGCCGGGCTGCTTACCTGGCTCTTGCTGGCGAGAGGGGAGGAGCCCGAGGACTGGACATGCGGGAGCCGGGGGGGCAGGTTGCGCCCCCAAAGCCGGTGGACGTGGTGAGGCCGGCGGCTGGAACTCAGCAGCAGCCAGAGTAAGCAGGTGAGGGTTGCACACCTCCTAGGCCAAGTCACTAGGGTGGGAGCTTGGAAATGGAGATGTTCCCGGTGTGGGAGGGGGCCTGCCTCCAGCCCCTCCTCCTCTGGCCTCCTGCTGCCAGAACCCTGTCCTGAGGCCCGGTCTCCCTCTGCGACCCCCGGCTGGTCTTCTGCCCGTGGGCTTGGATAGGACTTGGACTCCTCCCACAATGGGGATCTCATCACCTGCCCTGCCGCTAATGTGGCTGTTACCAGTTCTCTCTTTTATTGTACTTTGTCTCTGCAACTTCTGTCGGTTGGGCTGACGGTGGGCTCCCAAGGGACAGGGCTTGGGTCTGCTCAGTGCACTGGCCCCAGGTGCCCAGAACCGTGCTGGCACGTGTGGGCACTCAGCACGGCTTTGTCAGGCGGGTGGGTGGGTGGTCCCGGCCGAGCTGTGAGTTACACGAAACAAGTGCAAGTTTTTCACATGGGCTGTTACTTCAGCTATTTAAAGAGAAGTCTCTTGTCCTGCCTCCTCACCTCACAGCTGTGCCACCCCAGGCCGACAGCCACTCCTCATGTGACGTGTCAGGCCCTCACCTCCTTCCCCACCACAGAATCATCCCTGGCAACTCGCTGCATCTCCTCACCCCTTGGAGTGTGAGTTCCAGCGAGGTCGCAGGTGGATGTGGGCTGTGACCCTGGTCCCCTCCCCTGGGCTCTCTGAGCACGGCCTGGGAGGGTCAGAGAGAAGCCAGGCACCCCTGCCCTCCGGGAACTGCAGGCCCTGGTCAGCAAGACGTCAGGGAGCGCTCACTGCTCTGTCCAGTGTCTGTCCACACCTCCCACACAGCCGTGGCCAGGTGGGCACAAGGGTCTCTGGCGGTGGCTGGCCACGTCTCCGGCGTCAGTGTGCTCGTTCAGAACCCTGCTCTCTGTCATGCTTTCTGACAGAGTCTGTCGCTCACACCCTGTCACCCTCCTTTCATCCTGATTTATTATCAGGCCTAATGAGTTTGGGGAGCAGCTGTCTCCCAGGGATGGGACCATCAATCTAGGAGATGGCTGTTGAACTCTGCTCCTCCAGCGAACGCAGGAGGGAGGAGCCAGGGACGAGGGGGTATGGTCACAAGCGGAGGGGCCGGCCTGCAGCACAGGGGTGAGTCCTGATGCCTCTAGTCCAGGACCTGGCCCTCCTGCTTCCTTCCGGTCCCTTCCCTCTCTGTCCCTCCGTTACAACATGAAGTCCAGGGCATCCCTGGTTTCTTTTGAACAGGCCAGCACCCACCCTGTGTCCTTGCAGTGACGGGGGCGGGCAGGGATGGGGGGACCCAAAGGGCTCCTAGGCCTCATACTTCCACTGCCCCTTCCCAGGGCTCGCTGGGGCTCCTCTCACAGAGCCAGTCCTCAATGCATCCCAAGCCCGGGCGGTGTTCCTCGGGCGTCTGCTCCGGAGACATCGTGTGCGTGCCCTTCCTCAGAAGAGCTGCTCAGCTCGGAGCGGTGTGCTCATCACATGCAGCTCTGACGAATGCCCCTCTTCCCCCCCCACTGGAGCATTAAGGGGCACCCAGCAGTCACTGGGTCAGGATCCAGGGGGCAAATGGAGCACCTCTGCTTCCCCGTGCTGCTAAGGCACACGGCTTATGTAAGCTTTCGACAAAGCGGCGCAGCGTGTGGCTGACGGGACTGGGGCTCACGGGGGAGGGCCCCCAGGTGAGACTGTCCCCCTCCAGGGCCTTCTCCAGGAGCTGCCACTTTTTAATGCTGGAATCGCCTCCTAAGAGCCTCTGGCATCTTCATTCCTGGATAGGATCCAGCATCTAGCCCTTGGGGGTAGATCCAGTTTTTGGAAATAAACTTGAGTAAGAGAACAAGATGGGTGACTAATCCAGGTGATAGCGTTGTGATGTAAGCCTAATTATAGCTAGAGGATTGTGAGATATGTTTTCTTATCTCCCATAGCCACGCCTTTGTAAGCCACCCTGAAAGTTCTAGAAAATGTCCCATATCGTCATTGACATAATGACACACAGCTCCCAAGACGGTGACTCCAGAAGCCACCCGTCAGTAGCTGTACCTTCAGGATGGAGGTCGCCCACGCCTCCGTGTGCTTTAAAAACTCCTCCTGTCTTGGAAACCTCCGTGCCTTGGTGTATTTGCAGTAAGGAAAGCCCGGGGCTTGAGGTCAGCAAGCGTGCAGGTCCCAGCACTCCCTGGAGATGGAGCGTTGAGGAGGAAGGGGGGCGGAGAGGCACTAGCCAGCATCCGGGGCTGGAGGCAGCCGTGACTCAGTGACTCAGAGTTGGCTGGCTTTCTGCCTTCTCCCACCGCGCCTGGGGCCCTGAGGCTGAGCCACAGGGACAGCTTTCTCCACTCAACTCGTTCAGAGCTGTGAGTGGCACCAGGCCACGAGGTGACACCTGAGATGGTGGCAGAGCAGGGTCTGAATCTCGCAGGACTGTCAGCCGCGGCCTCTTGAATAGCCTGTCCCCGGGCGGCCCCAGGTCCCCACCTCCCACGGTCGTCCAGCTGTAGCCATCTGACTGCTCAGCTCCCGTTGTGACCTGGCCCCCAGGGGACTCGACCTCCACCCTGGCCCAGCGCACTTGCTGCGGTGCGGTTCCTCTGCACAGATCTCTGTCCCACACACCCCTCCTGCGCTCAGCCCCAGACATCTGGTGAGCCAGGCTGCCTGCGTCCTGGGCTGTCCTGTCACCCCCTCTCCGCCCTCCAGGGGTTAATCCAGAGACAGCTCGCTGGGCTGAGAGCCCACGGGAGGAGCTGGGTCTCCGCTTTCCCCTTGACCTGCCAGAGCTCGGAAGGCAATGTCTCTGGAGCAGGGAGGGTCGTGGAGCGCCCAGAGTTAGGAGCTGCGGGGACAGGAGCGGGCTGAGGAAGAAACAAATCATCTTCTTCATTGGCAGTTTGCGCAGGTCTGTCCCCTTGCTCCCTCCCCTCCTGTCCCCTATGCCAGACAGCTCCATTCCTGTCACTCCCACTCCCAAGTGTCATTGTGGGAAGACCCTGGTCTGGCTTTCTGTGTGTCCCAGGAGAAAGGCCTCCTTCCGGGGAGCCAGGGAATGTGATGTGGCCTGAGGGGACAGTGGGGAGACCCCCAGCCTCCCCCGCGGGGAGGGGCCCTGTGCCTCAGTCAGGCCGGCCTCTTTCAGCCGAGGGAGGGGGAGAGAACATGAGTTCTGCCCCGGCCGCTCCAGGCCAGCGAGTGGAGGAGGCCCCGAGAAAGCCCCGCGAGGGAGCCAAGCGGCACCCGGCCAGGAGCACGCACTCCGCAGAGAAGGCGGTGCGGGGCCGCCCTGCCCACCGCCCCAGCACAGCCCCTTCTCACGCCCAGATCCCCCGAGACAGACACTCCCTCGTGCCCTGGGGAGAGGGAGCACGGTCAGCAGCCCCTGCCGACCTGGAGCTCCGGCCTCTCGCCAGGCGCCACCACACCAACAGCTCTCCAGGGGAAGGGCCGGTTCCCGCTCAGCTGGCTGACTGCCCTCTTGTCTTCCAGCCTTCGCCATCATGATCGTGCTGGCGCTGGTCCGCATTGGGCACGGACACCGGCAGGGGCACCCGCCCCTGGCTGACCTCTCCGGGGTCCGGAACCTGTTCGGCGTGTGCGTCTACTCCTTCATGTGCCAGCACTCTCTGCCTTCCCTCGTCACACCTGTGTCCTCCAAGCGCCACCTCACGTGCCTGGTCTTCCTGGACTACGTGCTCATCCTCGCCTTCTATGGCCTCCTCTGCTTCACCGCCATCTTCTGCTTCCGCGGCGACAGCCTCATGGACATGTACACCCTCAACTTTGCACGCTGTGACGTCGTGAGCGTGGCCGCCGTGCGCTTCTTCCTGGGCCTCTTCCCCGTCTTCACCATCAGCACCAACTTCCCCATCATCGCCGTGACCCTCCGCAACAACTGGAAGACGCTCTTCCACCGCGAGGGGGGCACGTACCCCTGGGTGGTGGACCGCGTGGTGTTCCCCATCATCACCCTGCTGCCCCCGGTGCTGGTGGCCTTCTGCACCCATGACCTGGAGTCCCTGGTGGGCATCACGGGGGCCTACGCAGGCACGGGCATCCAGTACGTCATCCCCGCCTTCCTGGTGTACCACTGCCGCAAGGACACCCAGTTGACCTTGGGCTACGGGACCATCAACAAGCATAGGTCCCCTTTCCGCCACACCTTCTGGGTGGGCTTTGTGCTGTTCTGGGCTTTCTCCTGCTTCTTCTTCGTCACCGCCAACATCGTCCTCAGCGAGAGCAAGGTCTGATGGCAGCATGTGTCTGGTGGTAAGAGACCACTCCGGCGCCCCCGCTCACCTCCCCACCTGCGGAGCCAAGAGCTAGCTCCTTCCCAGGGTTCCTTGGGGTAGGCGAGGCCGGATTCTTGGAGGGGACCCTCCACATCTCTGGCCGGGGGTCTTCTCCCCCCACCAGGATTCTGCACGGTCTGTACTGTGCCTCACTCGCTGGGCAGCCTTTCCCCCCGGGCTCCCCTGCGTGGAGCTGCCCCCGGCCAGCCGAGCTGCACGGCCTGGGCACACAGCTGCCCCAGACTCCGGGCTTGGCCACGGCTCTACACACAGGCCCCAGCAGACAACCACCAGGGGCAGCCTCCTCCCCCGCACGGTGGGGACACAGTGCTGGCTGGCACTGCCACTGTTCATACCAGACGCCACGTCCCCTCCTCCTTTGTCCCAGCCCCTCGTGCGTCCTAGTCTGGGGAATCTGCCGCACAGGTAGCTGCTGCCTCAGGGCGAGTCCCAGGCCCTAAGCCTCCTCCCCACCAGGATTGCCAGGTCCCACCTTCCCCGCAGGCCTGGAGTGGCCAGGTGCCACTCCCGGGGGAGGGCCTGGCCAGCCCCCGTGACAAGAACAGGAAGTGCTGATCAGCACCAGGGTCCCTGGACTGTCGCTGTGAGGGCCCCTGCCATGGGTGCCAGCATCAGTCCCGAGCTCCTGAGCCCGTGATGACTCAGCCCAGGAGACAGTTTAAGCCCAGAGCTGTGACCCCTCAAAGGGATCCGCTGCTCTCCTGACTGCCCCATGGGGCCCGTGGGGTCTCCTGCACTACCGGGGGCAATGTATAAGGACCACGAAAGGGAGCCACCCCCAGCCACCATCACAGTGGCTTGAGAGCACCCTGAGCATGTGGCAGTGAGGGGGCTCTGCTTCCCACCCTCTAAGAGGTCAGGCCTGTGGGGTAGCAGCAGGCTTGGCTGTCCCCACGCGAGTACTAAAGGTGGCTCCCTTTTGAGCCACATGCTCTCCATGACCCTTGGGTGCTGTGGAGTGAGATGGGGCACCAGGCACCATTCTCATGGAAGGAGGGGTGAGTTTCTAGCCACCTCACCAGCTCTTCCATGGCCCCATCCCTGTCACAAGCATGCATGCCTCTGCTGGGCCAGCCTTCCTTGGAAACACAGGTGACTAGTGAACTCTGCATTTTCAGTGTGCCTTCTGCTTCAGGACCTGGGGGTCCTTCCTGACCCTCCCTGGCATCCCCCCAGCCCTGGGCCTGGCCCACCTGTCCTGGAGCCCAGAGCAGCTTGACCTGGAGCTGCCTGTCTGGGGTGGGGCTTCAGGTCCCCAAACCAGCACCCCCCTTTTGATTTCAGTGCCTTGCTCAGCCCGCATTCAGGAACCTTCACAGCCTCCTACATGGCGCGGTATTCATACCTTGGACAGTGACCACGCCGGCTCTCCTGGGGCCCATGGTGGCCTTGGAGGGAGAGGGAGGAAGACCTGGGATATGTATGAACCGGGGAGTCCACAGGCAATGCCACCCCCCGCCCTGGCCCCTGGCCGCCACAGCCCGTGAGAACCCCGGGTCGTGCGTGATTGGCCATGGTCTGTCTGCATTCTCACTGTTGGACACTTCTTAGTCCATCCCCAAGTACTGTGATTTTCCATCCATGTGAACACTAGACCACCCTTCCCCATCTGCCACAGCAACTTCTTCCCAGGAGGCTCCAGCCTCCGGTGGGCAGAGCAGGGAGGGCTCCCAGGGGGCAGGCACTCCATGGCTCCAGCCCTACCTGGAGCTGCCCAGCTGTTTGCTAAAAACGCAAAACATCTGTACTTCCCCTTCTCCAGTTACATCCTCTCTTGCTTAAGGACAAAGCAAATTAAATCATCCTGCCGCCCCAGGCTCCAAACCAAATATTGGAGGTGAGTTTATTAGCATCATAAAGCCCAGGTTGATTTATGTGACAATCTGGAGGCATACAGCAGTGCCCGGTCGGTGGCTGCATTCCCCTCCTCCGAGCCCGGCAGCCCCAGGCCTGGAGGGACCGAATCGGCCCTAAGTGGCCGCGTCGCTGACGGTAAGCCCGGGTACTCCCCATCGCCGCTGTCTGGGCTCCTTTGCTCCTCGGCGTTCACCTACTGTCTGACCACCTGGAGGTCAGATGGGGTCGCCTTCCTCTCTACTGATAGCCAGGGGGGCTTAGAGCAAGGTGGGGGGACCGCCAGGAGCTAGACAGACCCCTGATGATGCCTGTTCACCCAGTGCATCAGGCACGCTTGGCTGCAAGTGCTTACATCGGTGGGGCGAGGTGGGCGAGTGGGATCATGATTTCCATTTTACAGATGGGCCCCCGGGGCCAGTGGCAGGGAGGGCAGAGGAGGCGGCACGCCGGGCCTGGCCTGGGTACAGATGTGGCTGTGGAGGAGCACATAACTCAACAGCCTCTACCTGGTGCCTTTCACCCAGACTGGCCCCAAGGGCAGGCTGGGCCAAGGTGGGAGTCCGCGATCCCTCGGGCCCTGGGTCCAGGGGCTCCTGCCTGTTCCCTCACCTGAGGCCAGAGAGGCGGCTACGGTCTTATGGATGGGGCAGATGGCAGGTGACAGGCTGGGAGGCACTGCTGAGTGGTGGAAGGTGGGCAGCGGGCACCTTGCCAGGCCCTTAGCGACACAGCTGTTCTCGCCACATGGAGGCCGGGAGCAGCCTCGGCAATAGGCAGACTAAAGTCAGAGTGGTGGAGGATGGGGGCTGTGCCCCACCTCAGGGGAATCCAGCCCCGGGGGAGGAGCCTGGCAGGGCCCGGCCCTCGGGCATGTGACCACACCTGTCTCCACCTGTCTTGGTGTGGCGTCCGATTCCCAGGAAGGGCTGACCCCAAGTTGCCCATGCTAACAGCCACTGAAAAGCTGCTCTTCTGAAACCGAGACCCAGGACTGCAGGAGAGAGCTCTGCAAACCTCCCCCACACCCCGCCCGGGGCTGGGGCTCGTGGTGTCGGTGGGAGAAAGGAAGAATAGCTTCCTGAGTGCTTGGTATGTGCCAGGCATGGTGCTGGGTGCTTTCCGCATGAACCTGGGCCTAACTTAGGGATTGAGAACGTGGATCAAGGAGTCAGAGCTGCCCCTTGCAGGCGGCAAGCCTCCGTGCTCGGCCCCGTCATTGTAACAGGAAGGCAATTGTAGCTGCGCCGCTGACCAGTTGTGGGAACTTAAGTACTGAGCTTAGTGCCTGGCACAAAAGTGCTCAATAAAACTATTACGTACTGATGCTCGGCTCTCTTATCACTTGCCAGCCATAACTGCTTGTCGCCACAGACCCAGGACTCACTGAAGACCCTGGTTTTGGTCCCTGGCACCTGCTGGTTTCATAGCCTCCTGCGGAATTGTGGCAACTGCCGGCTACAATTCAGAAACGGGAAACTGGTCTGAATTCTTCAGGGCCTAGAGGGCTTTGGGGGAGAAAGTGGTCTCTCTCTGGCTCCAGGGAACTTAAGAACCAAACCGAGGCCCAGCTGGAGAGTTCTGGAGCCGGGACTGAAGCCCAGGTATCCTGACCGAGGCCGTCATGCCTGCCCTTGGCTAAGCCCTGTGCCCCCTGCCTGCTCACAGGCCCCAGGAAAGCGGTGGTGTGGACAGTGAGCTCCCAGGAAAGCCAGGCGAGGAAACGCACGCAGCAGCAGGGTGAGACAGGTGGCCCAGGGCCTCCCTCCTCTCGTATCCCACCAAAAGAAAAAGCCAGCATCCAGGTGTCTGGTGTCTGGGTGGACTCAGCTTGCTCTTTGCTACACAGTCAGGCCCTTGTTTATGATGACTGATCGTCTCTGGCCTGGTGCCACGGCTCCCTCCTCTCCCCTGTCAGGCTTTCTGCCCTCTTCGATAGTGCAGGGCTGTTCCTTGGTCCTCCCTCGGAGGTGCAGGGGGCACCACGGCTCCGAGCAGGAGGCTGGGGAGCCAGGCCAAGCAAGCTCTGAACCTGTAGGAAGCGTCCTCCCTGCCTCCACTTACCATGGGGCTCACTTCTCCCCAGAATACATTCCTAGAGCAGGAACGAGGCAGCCAAGAGCCTGGCTCCAAGAGCAGGATTGGCCCCTCCTCGGAGCCAGTCAGCAGTAGGCTCGGCTCCACATTTGGCTTTTAATTATCTTTCCGGTTCTTGGTTATTAATGATCTTGGGCAGTGAGCGGAGAGCAGCCCGACCTCAAGACTCCTCCCAGCTTACCTGCTGTAGCCTTCCACCCAGAGCTGCGCTCAGATTCAGGGAGCAGGAGGGGTCCGGTCCAGGGTCTGGTAGCCAACAGTTAACTCTCTCACCACCCGTGGCTGTAGTCAAGGTCAACTCCCAGGGCACTGGCCTCGAGCACTCACCTGGACCCACATTTACCACCTGTGGCTGAGACCTGGATCTGTGAAAATCCATAGGGCCGAGGACATGACATTGCCTGTGCCAAGAATGGACACCCATTCTTGGCAGAGTCTGGCTCTCCAGCCAGGAAAGGAGCCGTGTTAGAAATATCCCCCCACTCCAGGGGCGCCTGGGTGGCACAGTCGGTTAATTGTCTGACTCTTGGTTTAGGCTCAGGTCATGATCTCAAGGTCATGAGATCAAGCCCCAACTCAGGCTCCACACTCAGTGCAGAGTCTGCTAAATTGCTCTCTCTCTCAAATAAATCTTTAAAAAAAAGTTTCTCCCACTCCACCATTTCAGCTGCTCTCATGCCTAAAACCAAACAAAAAACTTCAGTTTTCAGGGCTCCCTCCACCCGCAGTCATGGAGTGCTGGGAGACAGGGAACCAGCAAGAGTGGTGTGGGAAAGGGCACGGGGCAGGGGCTGCTTGTGGTGTCGGCCTCGAGCACTGCCCTCCCCTGCCTCCTCCCTGTTACAGGGAGGTAATTTCTGCCCTACCTCACCCAACTTGCCAAGGACAGCAAGGCCCCAGGCTTTCCATGTGCACACTTAGACAAGGTCTGACGGCACCAGTCACACCGTGTTTGTGGAATGAATGGGAGAATGAGGGCTCGCTTGCTGTACAGAGTCATTGTGGGAGCTGAACACAACCACAGATGGGAAAGCATTGACAATTCTTCACCAAGAGCCAGCCTTCTAGATGGTCCAGGACTGATGACATGCGACAGAGCAAGGAGGTGGGGTGGGGAGCCCAGAGGGACAATGAAGGACTGAGACATCCGGCAGATTCTCTGACCTGGGGCTCTGACCCCCACGAAGAGCCCTGGCACCAGCAAGACTGAGCCGTGTCTGATCTCAGAAGCTGCCTCTGCCAGACTTCCAGAGCCGGCAGGCAGTTCAGAGCCCCACACATTCACCACCAAGAGAGAATACAGCCAGCCAGGGCCCAGGAGAGCCCAGGAGACTCCCCGCAGCAGACCTCCCATTCCCACTGATACACTGTCAGGCTCCCAGGTGGACCCCTGGCAAGGCAGGACACCCACAGCCGCTGGCATGAGCCTCTCTTTTCAAGGAGATTGAAGGATGAACTCCATCCCCCGAGCCCCCATGCTGAGCACATTTGTCGCATCCAGCTCCAGGGTGGGTAGGAGCCGGCACTGAATACCAAGTGGCTTCTGCTGCCCAGAGCCCTCCCTCGGCCTCATCTCCCAGATACTCCCCCAGAGGGAGCTGCTCCTCTAGGCAGACACCCTGCCTGGGATACCCCCAATGTGCTCCTATTGCCTACGGGCTGTGGTGTGCCCCCTCCAGGGATGCAGAATGAGGCAGCCAGGACCAGTGGGTTGTAAAAGATTTGTTTAATGCCCCAGTGCTCCGAGAAGAGACTCCAGACAGGGAGAGTAAGGAGTGGGACAGCCCTGCCCTAACCCCGAGTTCCAGCCTCCATGCTCCCACGCCAGGTGCCCAGCAGTCATGACTAAGAACTAGCTAATGGCGGGGCAGGGAGACCCCACTGCTCCCGGTGACTCCAGAACAGGTGGGAAGGGCTTTGCATAAGAGGACAGCAAGAGCCCACCCAGCCCACACCAGGACTTGAGACTGCCGAGGCCACCGAACTGACCATAGAGGACGTCTGTCACTGGGGGCCCACAGCCAGGATTTCAAGGCAGAAGCCAGAAAAGTCCAAGTCACCTGCCCCCACTAGCCCTGATAGCGCTAGGCAGAGAATCCAGCTGACCATGAACCAGAGTCTCTGACCCCTCACACTTCTGACTCCAAGCTGGAGATCCGCCTCCAGGTACAAGGTCCAGGGAAGCCGTGTGTCCCACAGGCCACCCTGCTGACCTCTTCCAGCCCCGCACTGTCCCTGTAGCCTGTGCTCAGCCCCAGGGTCCTGCCCCTGTGCCCCGGAGGCCCCCAGGCCCCAGTGAGCCAGGGGCCGTGGCTGGCACAGGGGGGCAGAGGGGGGCAGACAACCCCCCAGCAAAGCGGCAGGTGGGCGTGGGCATGCAGGCAGGCGGGCTGTCTGCGCGGCCAGGCGGGGACCCTCGCCCACACGCCCTCCTGGCAGGCCTCCCAGTAGGACGGCAGCCGCATCGGCGGCGCCTGCGCCAAGCGCCCACAGGCCAGGCGGCCACACCCCGCGGGCAGCGACCTGGACCCGGCGAAGGCCTCGGCCACCGAGCTGGGCAGGGAAGCGTGGCTCGGGCGTGGGCCCTGGGCCCAGGCCGCGCGCAGCAGGGCCTCCCGCCAAGCCAGCTGCTCCGGCCCGAGTAGCGGCAGGTCCTCCGGCTCCGGGGGCTCCGGGAAGAGCGGGAGGAAGGGGCGCCCCGACCGGTCGGCCCGAGGGAAGGAGCTGTAGTGGCAGCGCTCGGGCGACAGGGGGCGCTCTGGGAGCGCGCGCCTCTCGGAGGCCCAGAGGT